TGAACTAACGCAAAAACTGAAAAAACTCATCTGATAAAAGGAGTACATCAGGTTTGCCAGAAGAATTATACTTTCCTCATAAGCAAAAAACTAAATGACATTTAAAATTTAATTCTTTTTTCATTGATCTACTATTTGATCCAGCAATACCACTCTTGGGGATATACCCAAAAGACTGTGACACAGGTTACTCCAGAGGCACCTGCACACCCATGTTTATTGCGGCACTATTCACAATAGCCAAGTTATGGAAACAGCCAAGATGCCCCACCACTGACGAATGGATTAAGAAAATGTGGTATCTATACACAATGGAATTTTATGCAGCCATGAAGAAGAATGAAATGTTATCATTCGCTGGTAAATGGATGGAATTGGAGAACATCATTCTGAGTGAGGTTAGCCTGGCCCAAAAGACCAAAAATCGTATGTTCTCCCTCATATGTGGACATTAGATCAAGGGCAAACACAACAAGGGGATTGGACTTTGAGCACATGATAAAAGCGAGAGCACACAAGGGAGGGGTGATGATAGGTAAGACACCTAAAAAATTAGCTAGCATTTGTTGCCCTCAATGCAGAGAAACTAAAGCAGATACCTTAAAAACAACTGAGGCCAATAGGAGAAGGGGACCAGGAATTAGAGAAAAGGTTAGATCAAAAAGAATTAACCTAGAAGGTAACACCCACGCACAGGAAATCAATGTGAGTCAATGCCCTGTATAGCTATCCTTATCTCAACCAGCAAAAACCTTGTTCCTTCCTATTATTGCTTATACTCTCTCTACAACAAATTAGAAATAAGGGCAAAATAGTTTCTGCTGGGTATTGAGGAGGTGGGGGGGGGAGGGGATGGAGTGGGTGGTAAGGGAAGGGGTGAGGGCAGGGGAGAGAAATGACCCAAACCTTGTATGCACATATGAATAATAAAACAATAAAAAATTTAATTCTTTTTCATGAATAGCATTAAAGTTTTTAACAGTAATTTTCAGAAAAGACAAAATTTGAAGTGATCCTTATATAACTTCTCTCAGACTCATTATCACATTACCTTATCTTCAGGCAGTAGTATTAAATGCGTCTTTCCTGGATCTCATGCAAAAAGTTAGAATTTAGATAAAACAGTTGGGCTGGAATACTTCCACCTTTTAATGACAAGGCCCAGCAGCTGCTCAGACTTGTCCACAGGCTCCTGATACAGCAGGCTGAGTCGTGGGCCAAAGACTCTGAACTTACCTCCTAGTTCACTTACCAAAATATTACTGAACCAGGTACATTTTACCAATGGTAGGAAAATGGGCCTGGTTTGGTAACACATATCTACAACTTCTCTCTTTTTTAAAAATATATTTCCTTTATGTCAGTTGATAAATTCCTAGGGCATGCAACCCCACCTGGGAAAGTTATTCATTTTAATACCATATGAAACAAAATATAATTAGTAAAGTAAAAGCTTGTAATTTATCTAAAGGGGGAGAGGGAGGATGTTTGGGGGTGGTAATATGGCTTGCCCATCCCCCTTTTTACAGCAAGATTAAAATATTTTGGCTGGGGGTGGCAACAGGAGGGGGAGGTTGAAAGGAAAGGGTGAAGGGGGGTGAATTTCATGACAATACTTCATACACATGTATGAAAATAGAATAATAAAACCCATTATAATTTTAAAATGAGAGGGAAAAGGGAGTAAGAAAGAATAGAGGGGATGAATTTGATCAAAGTACACTACATGCATGTATGATGGAAATATCACACTATACAATTAATATATAATGAAAATTAAAATATTTTACTATAAGAATGTTCTCAATTTGCTAGGTAACGAGGGTATCCTAGTATTCTTAGAGTTATATTTTAATTACACATCCACTTTAATACTGACTATTAGAAAACAAAGGAAATCCTGATGGCTTTTATTTTTAGCAATTAGTTTATTCTGTACTGTGCTTTAGCATGTTCCCATACTGAAAGAGTTATGATACTCACAGCCGCAGCTCTTCAAATGTTTTTACGGAGTAGAGGGGAGAGCTGGGATCCTTTTGCAAGACTTCTACTCGGTGACTGGATTCTATTAAGGACTGACGGATTAACTTGTTTAAGAGTGAATTAGCTGCCAAATCCACTAGAAAAGCAAAAAATTAAAAAAGGGGACATCAAGTCTCCTGAATAGCATCTAATAAGTTGCTTTCTCCTATTCAGTGGTTGTACTTTCAGAAACTGCATCTAGGCTCCTTCTTTAAAAGGTTTCAGAAAAATGATGCAGCAATCAGAAATCCTTTTCAAGAAGATACAGTTTCTTAAGCTCTACTGATATACCAACCTCAAACCTCAAGCAAGTGAATGTGTATCTCTATCAGACTTAATTCTTTCTTGCCAGCTAGAAATTCTTAACCTACTTCTTGCATATTCGATTTAAACTTCCTCTAAAGAAATATATCTCTTCTAATTTAGTATTTCTTCTGAAACTAATCATAAAAGACCAAAACAAAGATAGCTCTTTTCCAGCTGAGATATTATCCATTCTCATTGTGAAAGTGATGATAAACTCAAACAGAATGCTAATAGATACATGCAGATAAATTTGCCTCCTACCTACATCTTCTTCGTCATCATCTTCTTCAGTGTTATTAAGAGAGCCATCTAAAAGGATAGAGGAGAAACAATAAATGTAAAGACAAATGCTGATCAGAAACATACAGCACACTCTTCCAGTTTTTCTTCCAGATTCTACAGTGTATACAGACAGAAAGAGTCATCCAGTGGAAGAGTAGATAAAGTGATTGGGAAGATAGTAGGGGTCTTAAATGTTACATTAAGGGAGCCAAAGGTATTTCAGCTGGCAGGTACATGATGAAAGCAATGATTTTTTAATTAACCGAGGCCAATCTGCTATACCCTACAGCACTCACCTATGTTTGGGACTGTGGTACTCTTAATACCCCGAAGGTTCTGCCGGGGGTGGATGAGATTTGAAAACTATTGAAAGACACAAATTTCAACCAATATTAGGAAGTAAGCCATCAAGCAGCCCAGTGTCCCCTACAAGAGAGGCTGGAAGGGGTTCAGGGAAGACCACCCCATAACTGTTTCCTTTGCAATGTTAGGGATTAACGGTTTCAGTTCAGGAATATGTCTCCTGTATGATTTAGTCTAAAAACGGAGACGACTTTCTGTAGTCCCTATACATGAAGTTTCTTTTCATAAGGCCTCTAGTTTAACTGGGGAAAGGGGAGTCACAGCACCCATAGGGAATGGTGGTGTTGGCAGATATGATAAAAGCCAGCTTAAATGGTCAGATTAAGAATACAAAACTCAGTAGGGTTAGGACTATCAGCTGCTTTCCCTCCCTCGTTTTCCAGGTGTCTTCATTTTGCCCTTTCAAACCGAAGATTTTGTCTCTGGGAGTCTTCTTTTCTGTGGCCCTCTTCCAAACCTGTCCCACATCTCCCCCGCCCACAATTTGACACTCCACTCCAAATGCTAGCAAGGCTCTCCCTTTCCCAGGAGAGTCCCCTTCTGGGAGTTCCTGTTCTAGTTCCCCCCCACCCCCACCTCGTCCCTTTGCCCTCCCCTGCTCGGTGGCGGTTACATGGCTGTTCAGCCGCTCGTTCTCCGCCGCCCCTGCGTCGCCTCCCCAAAGTAACGACGCCATAGCTGCGATCGCTGCTCCCGCCCCCAGCACGTGCTTCCACCCCAGGCGCGAGGCCGTGCCCAGCCCCACTCAGCGGCCAATGGCCTCGCTCAGGGGGCAGGCTTAAGCCCGGCGACCACCCGCGGCGCGGCGCGCAGGCGCAGGGGCTTCCGCGCTCAGGGGCGGAGGGAGGGATGAGCGCAGGGCGCGCAGGAGGACCGCAAGTGCTGCAGAGGTGTCGGAGGCTGCAGTTCCATCGGCCCAGCCATCCACACCGGCTGTTAAGAGACTGGGGAAGGGTTGCGATCTTAGTCGCCATTCGTCAGCTGCCCCTCTGCCAATCCCGCCACCTGCTACGCAGACAATCCTCCTGGTGGCGAGGTTGTAACCCACATCCTGCTTTAAGCTTTTGTGTCCATGTTTCCGCGGACATCTCCGCCTGCATATTACAAGATGTAAGAAAGGCTGACAAACTGCATAGGAACGTGGAGGGACAAAATAGGCTTAATCTGATTTATGAACTCGAATGAGAAAAGAGTTCAAGTGCTAGTTACCGAGCCTGCCCTACATACATGCCTGTGATGTTTCCGTAAAGGGGCTAATTTTAATTTTTATTCTGAGATGTAGTTCCTTGTTAAAGCAACTCCTAGAAAACTCTCTTCCTTTCGGTACAACCTTACCTGCTACGTGCATTTGCACAATACGGGATATATACCTTAGAGTGCTGGTGTTTGGACAAAAGAACCTTAGTTTTTTAGTTTTTTAACTGGAATTTTGAGAGTTGGTTCAGTATCTCTGGAATTGGCAGCAAAAATACAAAACCGTCGTCATGATCTCTCCGTGGTGCTGAAGCAACACTCCCCAACTCTGTTCCATGATTGTCAGGCTCTCCAGTGGTTTGTTTCGAGGTTGTAACATTCCCTTTAGGCCTTTACGTTTGCATTCTAATAGTGGTTTTGTCTCTCAATGGTAGCTTTCTACTAATTAAACTAAGCCCAAAATTGGACCTGCATCTTCAGTCTAAGTTTTCCTATAGGGTAGCAAACATTTGAAAATTCCCTTTTCTTATTACTTTAACGCAGCAGTATATTTTCTCTTTTTGTTATTGCATTACCTCCAGATTGTCCTTTCGGGGTAGAGAAACCATGGGCGCACTAGAAAAAAACCTCGAGCGGAGGATTTTGCCATTCTACCTCCCCCATCCGACCCCCTGCCCCGGCGTCAGAACTACATTTCCCACAAACGCTGCAGATCTCCCGTGAGGCCCCGCGCGCGCGGGCGCGCGCGCGCCGGAGACGCTAAGTGACCACTTCCTGTGTCGCGGATCGCTGGGTTAGCGACCGGAAGGTAAGTGCAGCGCCCTAGGGTGGGCTCACTCTGGGAGGGACGAATAAGTCGACGGAGAGCTTTCCCGCATCATCCCGCCGTGTGAAAGTGAGATGTCTCTTAAAACCATGCGTTTTTCTGTTGTGCCTGGTACTTCTGGAGCTCCAGGCAGAAAGTCCCACCAGCGGTGGATTAATTATTCTGTGACAGGAGTTTAGAGGGGCTTTGGACTCTGCAGTAAGTCTCTGCTGCACTGGTTAGAATTGTTTGCTCAAAAACTTAAAGAAGTTGCCCAGTCGTCCGTGGAATGCACGGAAAGCTGGAGCTTTCAAATTATTTTGGGGTTTGCTTTCCACGCTACACAATTTCAGTATTAATGGTCACAGTGCGTGTCCTAATCCTTTGTGTCACGAGAAATGCTATTTCTGCCATCTCACTGATTTTTTCTTTTAATCAAGACTTCCGTCTTCAAAAAAGCATTGAACGCCTAGTGATGACTTTTATAGTCGATGGTTATGCTTAACACACTGGAATTTCCTCTTTGTTGTAATTTGGCGGCCCCGCCACGTGTTACCTGTCTGGCTGGGAGCTACTGCTTTACCCAGAGAAGGGTATGGTGTGCTGGTGAAAGCATTGTTTTGAGTCAGGGGCCGTGAGTTCAAGTCCTCTTACTACAGCTCTGATGACTAGGCTTAATTCTTTGGTTAATAAAGGGGTTAAATTAGGATATTCATTTTGAGAGATTTTGGTAATTTAGACTGAGATCTACATAAAGGTGGCAAATCACTTGCTTAAAAAATGCCGTGTAATTTTTAATTTTGAAAGTATAGTATAAAAAATTACCTTTAATCCGGTACCCAGTCAGGTTTTTTTTCCTCTGTGCTCTGCATGTGACCAAGATCATGCTTGTAAAATCTATTTGCTTCACATAGTGTGCATTTTTGTCTCATTAGACATTCAGTATTGGACAGTTTGCAGTTTTTACTTGCAGTGAATATATCAATACCTGCCTGAACCACTGACTACTTCCTGATAAATACCTAGCAGTGGAACTGGGTGAATGTATTTATTACATAATCTCAAATGCTACGCACAAAACATGGTTCGGCAGATGATAATGTCAGTCATTCCTATTTATATTCAACAACTTTTTCCTTTAACAAGCAAACTATTTCTGCTGTCACTTTTCAGGCCTCAAGTGTTAAAATTGACAGCTTCCAAATTTTAGCTATTCCTCACTGGATGAGAAATGTCAAGAATGTAAAATTCTTGTGTGAGAGTTAATATTTTGATATGTACTCAAACAGTTCAAATCCATTTTCATATTTATGTATACATCTGACTCCAGATATATTTTGAAATGCTGTTGCAGGGTAGGAAGACTTTTAAGTGACAGGCATAATTCCAAAGAAAATTTGTGGTGAATTAAAAAAAGCATTGTACTCCAGAAGTGACAACTATGGTTGAGGTTGAAATAATCCTGAAACAAAACCTGGGTTAGGATCCTGTATCATATTGCTTTGGGGCATCTATTAAAAGCATTTCACACAGTTAACTGGACGAATGAGCGATGTCTGTGCCATTACTTATCTCTCATCTTTTAGGACTCTGTAAAAGCAGGGTTTTGTTCTTTCCCTTTGGCTTTCACCATTCAGATGGTGAGTGCAGTGGGGAGAGGCAGAATTATGGCCTAAGTTTGAAATCATCTTACTTTGGGAAGTATTTAATTAAAAGATTCCAGCTCATGAATTTTCAAAATTCTTTAATAGATGAGCTAATGACCACCAACTTAAAAAACACATCAAAACACAGCAGTTCTCAATGGCCCAAGGTAAAAAGGTTATCAAACAGATATGGTACCTTCTAACTTGAGAAAATACAAAGACCAGGCTGACTTTCTTTCCCTGGCATGATTTCTCTTGTAATTGCTGCTTTTGAGAATGGTAATTTGGAAATTAAGTGGGGTCTGATACCTATGTGATATACAGCTAAGAAAGAACAATGGTGGGTGAAATCCTTATTTCATATAATAATTCTGTGGGCTTTTCAAGTCATAACTGAAAGAGATAAAGAACCAGCTTATCCTAAACAGTTTGATGGGAGAGACAGGTAGAAGACTTAAGAAGGGGAAAGAGGGAAGGGAAGCTTCCTGGGTATGACACCATTTGCAAGATCACAACGAACACCCCAACGAAGGGCCGATCTTTTCTTCTCAGTTGGTACTAGGTAATTGTTTGGAACATACACATGTTGAGACTTGGATTGAGGTTCTGTTCGGGAAAGCATCTTTTCTCGGACACCCCAGCGTAGCTCCTTCCTCTGATCTTCACCAGGAAATCGCATTGAGTCCCAGTCCCTTTTGTACTCAAAATATCGGGCTACCCGATCTATCTTGCCCCGGTTCCGGCTTAACTGGTCCAACCTTGGGAGAATAAAGGACTTGGATCTGCTGGCAACAATCAGGTCTTGTTCATAAGCTGGAGGGCCCATTTCCTCTCTTTGTAGATAGCAAATAAGCTGATCTTGTGAAACTCCTTGGTATTCATGTGGTAGACTAAGTTTTTGTGAAATACCAACTGTGGATTCCCTGTCTTCTTGGAAATGCATATTCATCAGCCTTTGTCTCAAGTCCCAGAGATTCAGATCACTTTCTATGCTACTTGCTGGCACAGAATCACTTTCTGATTCACTGACAATTGACTCATCAGTCACTAATACTTCCCCACCTGGTTTTCTGCGCAGCACCTTTCTCTTCATTACTGGCTTTCGGAGTCTTTGAGAGGTCTCTGAGACCGTTTCTGAAGTAACATAACTTTCTCTGTGTGGATAATGCAGTTGTACAGGAAGAACAGGATGCTTCCCTGGGGTTACTGAAGCTTTACTGTAGGGGTCATACTGGATAGACTGGGCTTCTCGCCTAATATCTCCCTCACTCTGCCCTGCACAGATATGGGTAAAAGCTGTAGCAGCTGCTAGCATCTGCTCTTCTGGATCCATATTGGCCCATTTCTGCACATCAGGTCCTGTGAGTTGCTCCATTGCTTCCCCTACACTGTAGGACTGTCTGCAAGAGATAAAATTGGTCAGTTTTCTGATAAATACCCAGCTCATAAATGGCTCATTCTCTTGTCTCAATTTTATAACCAAATGGAAAAAAGAATGGTTACGGCAATTATAAATTCAAAAATCATAATAATGACTAGCATAGGGTAATACTGGACTAGTTTAGGGGGGTAATTCAGCTCTAGTCAATCTATTGCTTGCTTTTATTTCCACTATCTTACTTGCTTCCCACTTTCTACTGCTTTGCCACATTTAGTAGCTAATCATGACAGGTTAAGTTGTGATATACAAAAAGCCTGAGCCCCTCCCTGACCAAGTTGCACTCAAAGGCAGTTTCTTATGATTTCTGTAGCATTTTCCAGATTTTTTTTTTTTTTTTGAACTTGGGGCCTCATGCTTGCTAGGCAGCCCTTTTTTGTTTGGATATTTCCAAAGCCTGGTGTGGGTCTAGGAACTACTTTGCCTGGGCTGACTTAGAACCGTGATCCTCTTGATCTTTGCCTTCTGAGTACCTAGGATTACAAGCATGAGCTAATGGTGCCTGGCTATGTTTTTTAATATTACAAACTTTCTCATTGTTGCAGTCAGTGTCATAAAAAATTGTTTGAATTTATTTAACTTGAGTAAACTTGAGCATCTTTTTATATACTTATAAATACTTTCTGTATGAAGTGGTTGGTTTATGCCTGTCTACCCACAGGTTGTTGGACTTTTTTCCTATTGTTTGTTTTGTTAAAACTATGATTGTATATTCACAAAATACCTGTATACTTGTATTTTCAGGAAGTTAGCCCTTTGTCATTGTGTGTCTCTTCTCTCCCCAGTGCTGGGGATCAAAATCAGGGCCTTGTGCATGCTAGGCAGGCACTGTGCCAGTTAGCTACATCGTCAACCTTGTTGCTTCCCTTTAGATTTTGTTGTTGTTGTTGACAGGTGTTTTTCCTTTTTTAGGTAGTCACACTTTTTGTTTTCCATAGTTTCTGGGTTCCTACAGTACTTTATTTAGAAATGCCTTTTCCACTCCAGTATTCTAAGAAAACATTTATTCCAGGTATTCTTCTAGTAAAACATTTTAAATGTTTTATATGCTCATCATAGATACAAAAACTGAAAGGGCAAAAAACTACCTAGACTTAGGTGACATAGTCAGCTTTGGAATAGATGTGGAGATGATCTTCTATAACTAAGAAACCACTGACAAATTACCTAAGAATGTTCTAGCCTTAAGGATCTAGTAATAGTTGCACTCAGATTATTGAAAAACACCAGAAATTTTAATACTGCTCTCTAAATTATGTCATCAGAATGACTCTGGTAACTATCAGAGGCACAGAAATCTTTTTATCAAAACATACATTAAATTTGGCTTAAGGCATGCACCAGTGGCTCATGCTTCTGATCCTAGCTATTCAGGATCGAGGTTCAAAACCAGCCTGGGCAAATAGTTCATGAGACCCTATCTTGAAAAAGGTCCATCACAAGAAAGGGCTGGTGGAGTGAGTCAAGGTGTAGGCCCTAAGTTCAAGCTCCAGTACTGCCAAAATAAAAAAAAATTAAAAATAAATAAATAAAAGGCTTAAAAAAGGATCAGTGATGCTTAATTACCTTTTTTCAGCCATCAAAACTGCTCAAAGTAAGAAAAGCTTGTTGCCAGGTTCTACTTCCAGTGTGAAATATAATCATTGATAGTATTTCTTCAATTAGGCTAGCTTCTATTGTGCCACCTCTGAAACAGAACAAAATGTTAGGTAATAGAACAAAGCACTTTATCTGAAATCCTGGAAACAAAAGAAACTTACTAGTAGTCATCAGTAAGCTCTATATAAATTTTATTAGAAAAACTGAAGAACTAAAAAGGAAATGTATAGGGGAAAATCAGTAATGAGTCCTTAATCATCTTGGTTAATGAAGAATAGAGATGAAATATGGACATTCCCCCTGAATATTTATTGGTAGTGGGATTTGAACTTAGGGTCTCTTGCTTGCTAGGCAGATACTCTCCCCCTAAATTTTTAAAGGAAATTTAAAAAGAAAAAAAAAAAGCAGCAGCAGTCTTAACAGGCTCTTCTGTGAATTGAACAGATAAGAATGTAAAAGATTAGTATCTGTATGATAATTAAACTACTGCTTCTATCTTGGGCAAGTGGTCTATACTCTGGGTATCAAGCTAAGTAGTATTAGATATTATTTGAACATAATGGTATTGTCATCACCAAAGAAACTCGCAATGAAATGTGTCCTTTTACTCTCTTTTCAGGTAGGGTGAGCCTGTGTGATCCTGTGGTTGTTATATCATGGCTGAAAATGACACAGATAGAAACCAGATTGAGAAACTTCTAAAAAGAGTACAAGAATTGGAGCAGGAGGTGCAAAGACTTAAGAAAGAACAGGACAACAGCATCAAAAGCTTAAACATTAGAGAAAATTCTTCAGGATTTAGAAAAGCTAAGCGTGTATTTGATTTTAGTGCTCATGGCCGAAGACATGTAGCCCTAAGAATAGCCTATCTGGGCTGGGGATATCAGGGCTTTGCTAGTCAGGAAAACACAAACAATACCATTGAAGAGAAACTGTTTGAGGCTTTAACCAAGACTCGACTAGTAGAAAACAGACAGACATCCAACTATCACCGCTGTGGTCGGACAGACAAAGGAGTTAGTGCCTTTGGACAGGTAAGGGACAGTATACTGTTTCTCAAAGTAATACTAGGATACCTAGTTGTATGTAATGAATATTGAGATTTGTATCTCTGAAACACAGTATCTTTTTCTAATTTCACAGGTTATTTCTCTTGACCTACGTTCTCAGTTTCCAAGGGGGAGGGATTCAGAGAATCTTAATTTAAAAGATGAAACTAATGGTGCTGCTGAAGAGATCCGTTATACCCATATTCTCAATCGAGTGCTCCCTCCAGACATCCGTGTACTGGCCTGGGCCCCTGCAGAACCTAGCTTCAGTGCTAGGTTCAGCTGTCTTGAGCGGACTTACCGCTATTTTTTTCCTCGTGCTGATTTAGATATTGTCACCATGAATTATGCAGCTCAGAAGTATGTTGGCACCCATGATTTCAGAAACTTATGTAAAATGGATGTAGCCAATGGAGTGATAAATTTTCAGAGGACTATTTTGTCTGCTCAAGTACAGCTAATGGGCCAGAGCCTGAGTGAGGAGAGATGGCAAGAACCTTTCCAGTTATGTCAATTTGAAGTCACTGGCCAAGCATTCCTGTATCATCAAGTCCGTTGTATGATGGCTATCCTCTTTTTGATTGGTCAAGGAATGGAGAAGCCAGAGATTATTGATGAATTGTTGAACATAGAGAAAAATCCCCAGAAACCTCAATATAGGTAAGTTAAACCAAGCTATTATATCTTTCTGTCTCCCATAATTGTCTAAATAAGTAAGCCACTGATTCTGCCTTCAAGAAACTTAATCTGACTTGTAAAATGTTAGAAACAAAAAACAGTCCAAACACCTGTTTCCTTACTAATGAGATAAAACAATGAGAAAATAAGAAGATATCACTTCCTCCTACATGTTTATTTTAATTTATTTTAACAGGTAATAATTAGGTTCTGGTGAAATTAAAATGTGAATAATCATTTAAACTATTCATGTTAAATCTTGTTTGCTTTATATAACCCAGTAGTCCTTCTACTGTACTTTGGAACTTTTCCTGTTTTCCAGCTTCTGAAATGGTAGGAAAGGCAGAAAATACGTTTTTCTTTGGAGAACAAGGTGAGGGCAGATATCTTAAGCTCTGAGAATGCCATTAACAAATTTGGATAAATACTGTTAACTGTTTAAGATCTTACAGTATAATGAGGCCATCTCAGTTCACCTCTTAGTGGCTTGTTACCATTGACATTTACCTAAATAGATCAAATTGATCTATGGGTTTTTTTTTAACTATAATAAAGTTGTTCCAGGTTAAGAAACTATTATATTTTCTTAGCTGTTACTCAGTGTTGATATTAGTGAGTCTCCCACTCCCCCTTTTTACCCAACTAAACTTTGGTTTTTTAAAAGAAAATTGAATGGCTGCTATGTATTCTCATGCTTGCTTTTTTTTTTTTCTTCCTAGCATGGCTGTAGAATTTCCTCTAGTCTTGTATGACTGTAAATTTGAAAATATCAAGTGGATCTATGATGAGGAGGTTCAGGAGTTTAATGTTACCCACCTACAGCAACTATGGGCCAACCATGCTGTTAAAACTCATATGTTGTATACTATGATACAAGGACTGGACTCTGTTTTGTTACCCTGTGGGACAGGACCAAAGATAGATGGAGCAATAGAATGGAGAAACATGAAACCTTCTGTCATAAAGCAGACCAGTGCCTTTATAGAAGGAGTGAAAATGCGCACGTATAGGCCCCTTATGGAACGTCCTAAATGCCAAGGACTGGAATCCCGGATTCAGCATTTTGTGCGTAGAGGACGCATTGAGCACCCACATTTATTGCATAAGGATGAAGCAAAAGTCAGAAGGGACTGTAATGACACACTAGAGGAAGAAAATACTATTTTGGAGAAACCAACAAAGAGGGTCTGTGTAGATACAGATATTAAAAGCATCATTTAATCACTTGAATCTAGGATCCATGCCAGGATCTAGGAAGCAACAACCAACTAGTAGGTCAAAAAGAAACACAGAAAATATTATTGCAAGAAGTCTAAGAAATTCTTATGATTATCTCTTTTTAAAAAAAGGCCTGATTGAAGAAGTTCTTACTCAAACAACAAAAAGTTTAAACATTTGTAATCCCCCTCCAAAAGGATTAAAAGATGAAAGAATTAAAAAAAAAAAGCAGCTATTATTTACATTTGCCTGGGAACCTGTGCCTTACATTCAAATTCATTAAAGTCTAGTCCTGCAAGTATCTCATTTGTGTTCTTTTTCAAGGCAAATGAGATAATCATTACTCATTTGAAGCCTCATGAAAAGCTTTGCCTAAGTGTCTTTATTTTATTAAAGAATTAAAAAATACCAAATTCTGTCAATTAAGGATAAGATAAATTGGTTTAGTGTCAGGCATGAGGCTACTTAGAGTGTACCTAATTGAATACAGCACAGCACCTTTTCTCATGAAAATCTAAGTGCAGAGGTTGGCAAACTTTCTTTGAAGGACTAGAGTAAATATTTTAGGCTCTGAAACAAATGGTACATTTTAAGTCCAGCATCCCTTTAGAAATGTAAAAAAACACTGGCTCATGGGCCATAGTAATATAAGCAAAATTCTTTGCTGAGATGGGGTCTCTTGAATTCTCTGTGTTGGTCTTGAACTATGATCCTTCCAATCTCAGCCTCCCAAGTAGCTGGGATTATAGAAGTGAGCCACGGGCACCCAGCTCAGCAAAATTCTTCAAGCTAAATCCTGCATAATTAGGAGCCAGTCAAAATGAGGATAAAGAACTAGAGCTTATGGGAGTGTGGCTCAGGGCAGAGTGCCTGCCTATGGAGTGAGAGGCCCTAAGTTCAAACTCCAGTCCCATCCAAATAAACAGAGCTTTAATTGTGTTTAAGGTGAAAGACACAATTTGTATAAAGGGTTAGAGATTATAGCATGTACCGAATCGTTAACTAAATTCTTTTGTATGGCTTGAATGGTAAAAGCATAGTTTAGAAAAATAAGTAATAGTCACATTCATAGAACCTTGTAGGACCCTCCTTAAAAAAAAGCTTAGATTTCATCTTGAGAAGCCACTGAAAAAAATTTAAAAACTAGACAGACCTGTGTAGCAAAAGCACTGTTCTGGGTATACTGTGGATTAGAAAAGGGCAAGACTGAAGGCAGTGGGACCAAAGAGGGGCTGGTGGAGTAATCAAGGCAACAGTTAACAGCCCGGAGTAGCTCTGTGGTAAGGAGAACAGAGAAAAGTAGATGAATCTGAAGTTAATGAGGCAAAAACAGCAGGACTCAGTGTCTGACTGAAAATGGAATTCAAAAGTTGGGAGGGTTTCAGGGTAACTTCTAGATTTTAGATCTTAGCAAATGAGTGGCAAGTGGCACTAAATACTGAGGAAAATGAGCTGGGGTTTGCCTCAAAGCAAAGTTGACTCAACATAGTTATAAACATCAATATTTATTCAAAGAGTTTTTCTGGAACAATAATAAACATCAAAGCAAACGCACTCAAGATGACTTCTTCAGTAATAATGTGCACTTCTGTAGTTTATGAGATCCACAATTTTGTTTACCAACCAACCGTTTGCTCCAAACTATGTTCAAGACTCAGGTATACACATAGATTCTATCCTCAAGCTGCTAGTTGAAACATAAGGAAGGCATGAGACAATTAGAAATAACAGCAATCTATACATATACACTGATACTTGTGCTACCAAAGCTCAGTAGATGGACATAGAAATAAGACTTCACTGAAAGACTTTCAAGTCTAGGAAATAAAATAGCCTATAAAGAGTAAGGTGACCTTGTGCTGAAGAGGTAAAATAAAATAGCTTTTACATCCTAGCAGTGGGAACCAAAAAAGTACTCCCATTTTAAATGAGATGGGAAGATGGTAATACAAAATAATTCAAGACTTCTTGTCACTTTTGGGTATCCTGACACTTCACAATGCCTTTAATGTTCTTAAAATACGATTGCTTTGTCTTTCAGTTTTTAAGTAAAGATTCTCTCGTTTTTCATGCAATCAATGAGCATGGTAGAATATCCTTAGTTAAACACATGGATAAATGAAAGTCACTTTTTTTTTGGGTGGTGCTGGGGGGTTTACACTTAGGGCCTTGCTCTTCATAGGCAAGCACTCTACCACTTGAGCCACAAAGCTCTTGATTCTCCCAATTTCCACCTCCAGAGTAGATGAGATGACAAGCATGTTCACCATGCCTGGCCAAAGTTATGATGTTTTTCAGTTTCTTACCTTATTTCAATGTACCCTGATTGGCATTAGCATTTGAATTTTTTGAAAAAAGAAACCTAGAAAAGATAAAAATAGAGTTTAAGAAGTCATTCCTCATTTTATAAAGCCAACTCTAAAGCAATAATACATACTCCAAAGTCTGACCCACAGTAGGGACTAAATAAGTGTTAGAAGAAAATAAAGGAGGCTCAGATCTTACTTTCTCCATTTTTAAAATGGCATTATTTCAATAGGTTGTGGAGTTTAGATGAAATAATATATGCATAAAGTGTTTGTGAAACTCTTTTAGGGGGATTTTTGATACGTAAAGCCAAGAGATTATCTTTTTTAATGGCATGTAAACTATACCATATTTAAAGTCTTATTTCCTTTTGTGTTTAAATTTTGTCACATTCATTTTTTCCCTTGAAAAATGACTATTTGCTGTTTGCAGATAGTCAAACGCAAACTTTAATAAGGTCCACAGGGCTCAGTCAGTTCTTCTGCTTTCAAATACAAAAACATGACCATTTGGGCTTGGGGCGTGGCTCAAGTGAGAAGGCACCTGCCTACTAAGCACCAGGCTGAGTTCAAATGGCAGTACTGCAAAAGAAACAAACATCTAGAGGAAATTTAATATAGAAACTAAAGCAATTCATATTTTGTGGTTAAATACAGATAATATTGACCAAAGTACCTAAAAATATCTTTTCTTCAAAAGTCTTAAGTGATGCAGTCTCCCAGGTTTAGCTACTTACAAGAGAGAATTATGAGGTGGGAATGATAGAATTTTAGGTACAGGTAAAACTGGGTTAAGCATTACAGGGAGGCTACCACAGTTTAAAAAAAAAAAATCTACAATAGGAGGTAAGCAGGAGGCTTACACAACCACAATATTAAAACAAAACACCCTACCATAAAAGTAAACATTATAATTAAGACCAATGAAAGTACAAACTGGGAGAAATCTTTAGAATAGGCTTAAATCACTAATTCACACATCAGTAAAATAGTGAAAAGACATGAATTACCAAAGAAGTGACTAATAAAAAATGTTTAATTTTATTAATGCAAATAAAAACAGTATCTTTTTAATTGGTGAGATTTTTAAATGTATAGTTTATGAGTATGAATAAACAACTTTAATACTCTATGTTGGGGTAATTTTTCTAGAAGGCAGTTTTGTCATTTTAGAGAATTTAAATTGTACCATACTTTCTAGGCCATAATCCATGTTCCGAAATTTATTTATTTTTGACATGCAGCCCAGGCTGGTTTTGAACTCTCAGTCCTGCCTCACCTTCCCATGTGCTGGGATTACAGGATGGCTAGGAATTTATTCTAAAGATTAATATTGGACAAGAATCTAAGTACATGTACAGGTGACTACTAACATACTATGTTATGATCATAAAGAAAGTTAAAACAATGTAAATGGACGGTGCAGTACAGCCACAGTAAGAAATACCATGCATTCATTAAAAACGGTAATGCAGCTAAGCATGGTGGTGAATATCCCAGCTACTCAGGAAGTGGAGATGGGAGGACCCTGGTTTGAAGCCACTGGGGGCAAAAGTTTAAGACCTTATAGCAAAAGTAACCTTTTCCTAAAAGGAAAAGGACTGTGGGCATGGCTCAAGGGTAGAGCACTCTTTGCTAGTAGAGTGCTCTCCTAGCAGGTAGGAGGATGAGTTCAAGCTCCAGTGCCACCTCCAAAAAAAGAAAACAAACCTACCCTTGACATAGAAACATGTTCTCAATATATTACTAAATGAACAAGGCATAATCTGCTTCTTAAACTAACCTATTTCATTATATTCATAATATACAATTAAATACATTTTACAAAGACAATCAAATATAGTGTGTATGTTCATAATGATAATATGTGAAGTAAATCAATTCAACAGTGCTTACTTATTTGGGGTACTGAGGTTTGAACTCAGGGCCTTGCACTTGTTAGGCAGGGGCTCTACCACTATTCAGCCTCACTCCCAGCCCTCAACAGTGCTTTACTGATGGTTCTCTGTAGTTGGTGGGCTTACAAGTAATTTCTCTTCTACAGGGACCTAGTACTGCTTGGATTTATTTCTACAGACATGTACATGTATGTCTGCATTCTTGTCCAACTATTAACAACCCCTTAGAATAAACTGCTGGAAGTGGATTATGACTCAGAAATTATGGTACAACTTAAATTCGAACTCCAAATTACAAACTCCTCTCTAGAAAATTTACCCCCAACCCATAGAGTATAAAGGGTATTAGTTTCTTCGCTCTGTCACCAGCACATGTATTGAAAAATGTTATTAACCAGAGGCACCTAGTAATGTTTTTGTTTGCATCAATAATTGGGTTGTGCAATTTTATAATAAAAACGGTTAATTTCCACTTCAGGATAGGACTGCATACCTGCTATCCTAATTCATTGAGAAAACATCTTTAACGGTTACATCCACAAGAACACAAAGGGTGTTAACCTCAAGATGAGAAGGCTTTTCTCAAAACTCTGTGGAACAAAGACAACTGTCGTACCAGCACGGTCCCCTCCCTGGGCACCCGTCCCCAGCCTCCACCCTGTCCCCAAAGGCTGGGGTCCAGTCGCTCAGCGCGGGGCGGCGTCGTCGCACAGGTAGCTGGCACACATCGTGACCTCGAGGGGCTGCGGCCACCATACAGTTTACAGCGCCTCAGGAAACACAGAACCTGGATTTACCTTGAATGCGGGAGTTCAGGATGGCGCGCCAGGGAGAACCCGGACACCGCAATCCGTATGGTCCAACAAGGGAAAACAGCACGGCCTTCCGCAGCACCAGCAGAGCAGCCACGAGTCCCCGCGCCCGCAGCTCCTGGCTTCCACCCACCTCACCCAAATCGCCGCAGTCCGATCACCGCTCGGAGCCCCATTGCCTGGCTGGCCGAGCGCCGCGGGTTTCCGTTAGCGTCACACGTCGCGCAAGCGCACAGACCGCCCACCCGCCAAGCCTGCCGTTAACTGCCGAAGTTTAAAACCCGGGAGCGAACCCGCGCCCTCGGCCCGGTCCTCCAGCTCTCTTATTGGCCCCAAGAGCGAACGTCTTCCGTGTCTACATAATGATTGGTGCACACTTCCTTTCGGCCCGCCCCCTCAAGCGCGAGCGAAGCCCGGGATTTGAAGCGCGGAGTTGGAACTGTTCAAAGCCGCGGTGCTGGGGCGCGTAACCCGCAGCCGTTGCTACGCGGTCTGTTGGGTTATTAAATCTGGCGGTGAGGTTAGGTTTGGGAAGAGGGGCTGTCTCGCAATCCTCGGCAAACAGTAAAACCAGCTGGGTTTTCACGTTCCGTGCACTGCAAGGGGGCTCAGTCTCCGCCTCGCCATCTTTGGAGGCTGGGCGTCCGGGCGTCGGGAACAGTTCCAGAGCCCTGTTGGCCCGGTTTCCCGTGATTCTGCCTCTTCATCCCAGACGACCACCTGCGGCTGGATATGCCTAGCCTCTTTATAAAGACTGCAACAAGTCCTTTCCACCGTTGCAAGGCTTTCTGACCCATTGCACTTACTGCTGTTGTCTCCCAACCACCCCAGCGCACTATCCTGTTCCCTTCGCAAGGTCGTGTATATCTGCAAAACAAAACAAAAACCCCATGCCTAGTGCTTTGGGAGTTGCTGAGGAGGAGGTCTGGAAAAGAAAGTGTTGGTCCCCATAGTTCAATATTCTACTCACTAGGTTGTACTTTCCACTTTACACAAATGAGCTGGTTGGCGGGTTCAATTTACACTATTTCTTAAATTCAGGATTGAGGTGGAGGAAAAAAGATTTTGTTCTCTAAAAACGTCATCTTGTCTCTTAGTCTCTCCTTTTTTCCTCCGCTGGGCCTTTGCATTACCTCTAAGAAAATAGCAAAAGTAGGTTGTGGAGATTTGAATGACCCTACCCTTGATTTGCTGTATCATAGCACTAATGTTCACACATTCTTCTTTTCCTCAGGAAGAACAAATAACCCACGTTCAGGTTTGATCATATTATATCTTAGTGACTTTTGCTTTGGTGTGGAATCTGCAATCAATGTGTCAGAAACAAAGGAGTAGATTAATCCATTTTTCTTACCACTGCTTTGGACAACCTCCCTCCCCCAACCACCACTAGTTTCTTGCTATCTTTTATGTTAAACTTTGATTTGTGTGTGTGGGGGGGGGGTACTAGGATTTGAACTCAGGGCTTCACACTTGCTTGGCAGGCATTGTACCGCTTGAGCCATGCCTCCAGCCCTTAAACTTTGATCTGTAAAAAAAATTTGGTAGCATCTTGAGCACTGTAATTCTGTCATGTTTCATATTTTAAGTGGTAGCTTTGTTCTACTCAGTCCTGGCTTTTTTTTTTTTTAGTCCTGGCTTTTTAATGATCACTTAAATTCGCCTAAATCTGATCCCCATAGTCTGAAATCCATGAACCCAGATCAAGAAACTTTAACCAAGGCTATCTAAAGTAAAATCCTATACTTTCAAACCAAATGTTATCTTTAAAAAATTATATGAGCCGGGCACCGGGTGGCTTACACCTGAAATCCTAGCTACTCAGGAGGCAGAGATCAGGATTGCAGTTCCAAGGCAGCCCGGGATAATTAGTTTATCCAGAGCTTATTTTGAAAAACTCATCACAAAAAAAAAAAAAAGGCTGGTGGAATGGCTTAACCTATAACAGCACCTGCCTAGCAAGTGTGAGGCCCTGAGTTCAAACCCCAGTGTTGTCAAAAAGTAAAAAAGGTTACAGAAAAATTAAAACATTAAAAAGAAACTATAGTGAAGCCCAATGAGCTCAATAACCAGGTCTAGCAATTTTAAAACTCATGACCAGTCTTGTTGCTTCTGTATCATTACTTACACACCTTCTCTTGCATTATTTTTAAGCAAATATCAGGCATCTGAAATTTATAAATATTTCAGTATAAAAAGTAAAGTACTTTTAACTTTTTTCAGACAGGATCATGCTATGTAGCTCAGACTGGCTTCAACCTTGAGATTCTCCTGCCTCATCTTCCCAAGTGATGTGATGTACCACGTGACTAGCAAATAAAAGACATTTGAAAGCATAACCATAACACTATATTCACACCTTGTATACTTAAATGTATTTTCTTAATACCATCAAATAACTAAGCAGTGTTCTATTCTTTCTCTCCTCTTTAGTTTGTTTCCTTGAACCAGAATCCCATCAAATTCTTACATTGTGATTCATTGCTGTCTTTCAAATTGCTTTTTGTCTATAAATTCCTCTTCCATTTTTAACCCTTTCAATTATTTGTTGAAGGAACCACTTTTTGGATTTTTCTGATTACATCTAAGATCTAAGTGGTGTAGTTTAACATGGCTTCCTTACCTTTTAATTCCAGTATAGCTCTTTTTCATATGCTTTCCCTAATTAGGTGTAGTTGGCTTATTAACCCATCAGCATCTTTATTTATAGGTTCAAATACTAATTTCAACTGGTTATATAGTCATGCTTACATTAATCAGAGCTTTATGATATCTTTGCTTTATCTCGTTGACATTTTGAAACTCCTCTAGCTGTAGTTCTGTCTTGACTGACTATATCCTGTCTCCATCATTTTAACTTCTTCCCTCTTCAAGTCTTTCAGTACTAGAGGAAACAGTAATGAATAGCAAAATGGACATATGCAACTTTCCCTTGACACTGCTGCCCCCTTCTGTCCACTTTCTTGTTTAGCCTTTCTATTTTCATGGCTCAGTTTCCCCTTAATTCCTTGAATTCTGAATTCTACCTCATCAAAATATTGAAATTGTACTTCCAAAGGTCACAAGTGATCTTGTTAATAGTCAACTCTAATTATATTGTTTGGTCCTATTTTTATTTTGTTAATTTTGTTTTGGTTTTTGAGACAGTGTCACTACATAGTCCAGGCTGGCCAGGAACTCAACATCTTCCTGCCTCAACCTCCAGAGTGCTGAGATTACACATGTGTAGCACCATGCCTGGCCTATATTTTACTTTTCAAAGAGTATTTGATACCTACTGAATACCCATCTTAATTACTGTGGTATGTCTTAGTGACTTGATAGTGAATAAAAAGACACAATCTCTGCCCTTATGAAGCTTCTTGTCAGGTAGGAGAAATTGACATTGATTAAAAATATAACAAATTATTGTAAAACTACAATTGTCAGTCAGTGCTAAGGAGAGGCAAATGGCTCAATGAAAAATCTCTAAGGGAGATTTTGAATGATGTCACTGAAATATGAACTGAAGGCTAAGTAGGTGAAAGGATATGGTAGGGTGATAAAAGGTATTTTCTAGGTGGAGGGAAAAGCATATGCAAAGCTCTATGGCAGCAGAAGAAAAGAAAACTAGCAGAAAGACAGAGGTAGGCAAGGACCAAATCATGAAGATCATGTAAGCCAAGGCAAGGGATCTGATCTTTACCCTAAGAGCTATAGAAAGTAAAGTGATATAAACATGACTTGTGATATATGACACACTTAAGTTTTCATTTGAAATGATCTACTTGGCTGCATTAAAAAGAATGGATTTAAGGAGGGTGAGATTATATGAAAAGTCCAAATGGAATGTAGATACATATTTCAAGTGGAAGGTAGGAGTAGTTTATGCTAGGATGGAAACAGCTAAAAATGTCAAGAAGGGAAACAGATGTATTTTGCAGCTAAAAACTAATAATTTGATCATGGATTGGCTGTGGTTGTAGTATGAGAGACAATCAGGTTGTGGATATTCATAGTCTTCTAGTTTGTGCAGCTGGATGCTATCTTCCGAGATAAAGAATACTGGAGTAAGACCATATTTTCTGAGGCAGTGTTAGATTTTGGGCATGTTGAATTTCAAATGTCCTTGAGACATCCTGCTGGAAATGAAAGTAGGCAGTTGGAAATTTGAGTGAGGCGTTTAGGTGAAGTGTATGTCCTAGTGATAAGGATACAGAACTCATTTGCATATGGGTAGATAGTCTAAGTAATGGATAAGGATGAGGTCTTCCAGATATAGAGTACAGATTGAAAAATGAAGGCAGTTAGTGTGGTGCCCAGCCTGGTCACTACAGTCTCCTTAAAATGCTACCATCTATTGAACTACCTGTCCTGGCTCTCTTCCCACCTTTCTTCATCCTCTCAACTGTTGCTGCTCCTCAAGGATCAAATCTTGGAGAGCTTTCACTGTTCATTTTAAGTGAGGAAATTTCAAAATCTGTATTTTCAATCCTTAACACTCTTCTGGACTTCTAATATTGATCTTGGCTGTATACTAGAACTTCTACATTGATACCTTTTCATCAAATCAAATGTAGCACATCTGAAATATTTACTATTCCTCTTTTACCCTGAATTCTCATTTGTGCTTCCCCTATTTCTATCTGTGGTCTTATATCCTCACATTCTTAACACTTAAGAAATGATCATTTTTATTTTTTCTCATCCCCATGTATCTAATAATTATTAAATTCTCTGTTGTTCCTTAGTAAGTTGTCATTTATTTACCTTCCATTTAATTCCTTTTTACTGCTAACTAGTAGTTAACCCTTAATGATTTTGTTCTTAAATTCTTTCTATAACACTTAATAATATGAGAAGATATGACCGTCAAAAGATAAAACTACAACAAATTCAATTAAAGATCCAGTTGTTTTTGGTTTTCTTTTTTGTAGTACCTGGGTTTGAACTCGGGGAGTTGGACTTTTTCACTTGAGCCATGCCCTTTATGCTGTTTTTTTCAAGTACAGTCTCACGTTTTTGCCGGGAGCCAGCCTCTGACTGCACCTCTACCTACAACCTCTCACATAATTGAGACCACAGGTGTGGCACCACCATCTGTGGCTTGGCTGATGGGTTGAAATGGGATCTAGCTAACTTTCTCCCCTGGGCTGGCCTCAAACTAAGATCTCCACTCCTAAGTAG